TTTGCGATCCCCACTCTGAACAATCCGATAAGCGACAATAATTTGATCATACATCAACCTTTAAAAAGGCGACAAGAGACTTTCTGACCTTGTAACAATAAAAGAAATCACTCATTTCATGATGTCTCTAACGCAGATCACGAAAAATTCCAGACGTTTTTGATGGACGATGTATAAACACCGATTAAAGAAACTTACATCACCGGAATTTGGCTACTCCTTCATTTCTTTTTTCTCAACGAGGAAGTTTTTTTGCATCAAAATTTACAAGTCTTACAACATTGGAAAGTAACCAAAGGAAGCCCTTATATGCTATTAATTGGCTATCGTCTAGTCAAATGGAACGTGAACTAAACATCACAAACACAACCGATGTGTTTGGGATAATAATAATACCTACCGTAGCGCCCATCTAGTGGTTTTCGTCTGAGCATGCGAAAAAACAAATGGATCATCAGGGGACAGTAGTCTGGCTGACAAGCTGAAAGTTCTATTCTAGGGAAGTCAAGAAATCAAAATTGCCATTCTGGTGAATTTTTTTAAATCGTTTACTCTGCTTTTAGTCTTTTTTTTCGTTTTGGTTAATATTTCTTTTCTTTCACCATTTTTGTTTCTTTTTTTCTCTTTCGATCGCAAGACAAAATAATAAAGTAAGTTTACTATGACTATTCTGCCATACTCAGTTTTCTATAAACACATCAGCCATCAGCTGGGACGAAGTTTTTCTTAAATAACCTGTACCAGTCTAGCTCTGGTATTTTGTTGTCTCCAGTAATCCTACCGTCTTCTCTCTCCACCTCTTTGATATACTGTGGAACTGGCAAAGTATTGGGATGTAAAAAACATCCATTTGCTAGCTCACTCCCAATAATTCCCGGGTGGCAGGAAGTCAGCGGGCGTTTGGCTCATCCAACTGAGAGTCGCTTACTGGGAGTCGAGGTACATTAGTTATTATTTGGCAAGGTAGTCGGTATATCCGTGCGTTTTGTTTGGTTCTTTCTTAATTGGGATTTTGCCATAGGGACCGTTTTTATGGAATATCACATCAATACGCTATCGATAGTCCCTTCTTCAACTGGTAAGCCAACAGGGAGACGTGAGGGTTTTGGAAGCACAGCTGGCCTTAAATGTGAAGTTCAGACTCGTTCTGAAGGTTTCTATAGACCTTCA